TATATTATCCACTTGCCATATAGTTACTATTTTCAATAACGGCTTTTACTATGATCGGAATTACAATCCAAATTACTTTCTTGTTTTTTTATATTTGTGATTTTAATATTGAACAATTTACGGGATACTCTTACACGATCGCATCCTAATTTCATCGTAATCTCATCTCAAATTTTAACCTTAAAAAGATACTCCAGACAGATTCGTTTTTTTTTTTTTTTTTTTTTTTTTGTTTTTTTTTTTATTTTTTTTTTCTACAGCTGAGCTTTTATTGCAAATTTGAAGGGTATGCTAATTGGAAAAAATCATACGTATGCTAATTGGAAAAAATCAGAAGGTTGTACATCCTATCTTTTCATCTAAGGAAGGTACTGGTTGCAGGGGTTACGATGGTATGATGGGGGGAAAGGACGCGCTCTGCGGGAAGGGGCTAACTTGAACTGCAGAGTGGAAATAGTGTATCGCAGCAGGGGAGATGGTGGCTCCACTGCAGTAAGTCTTACCGGAGTAAGGTTGGATGGGCTTGGGAGGTGTGTGCAATCAACTTCTTTCTTCAGATAGATTTACTTACTGAGACTTCTTTCGTATAGGCCGATGGGCTCATTTTCACGTTCTTATTTTCCATAGATAGATCTCCAAGAGGGTTGTTGGGTAAGAGGTGGGAAGGGGGGGCAATATAGAGGGAGCCATGGGTTTTGATAGTAGGTCAGAAGGAAGGGGCTGGGACGACGCAGGCCGGTGCTGGAGTGTTTTGCTCTGTGACCTGGAGGAGCATGAGGTTTAGGGAGTTCTGTCGAGGGAGGAAGACAAAACCAGCACTTTCGATGTGGCCGTAGCTGGGGTTTATCCCTGGTACCATAGGGGCGTGCGGCTATGGGGAGTTGCCGAGGGAGGAAGACATTCATGACCATCTATATTAGGTTGGTCGGTACCGGGGCTTGGTAGTGTCCTGTAACTCCAACATGGGAGGGTATGCGACCAGCCGTGTGTTAGATCGAGGACTGAATACGAGACATGTGGTTTTCTTCAATAGTTGCGGGGAGGGCAGGTTTTCTGTTGTTTGTGCAATTCTTACTAAAATTTTATGTCAGAGGGACCTAAGAGTGCTTAGGATTCTGGGACTCCTAGTAACTTCTTCGGGGTTACCTTGATGTTGCTATACTTGGTGATCTGCGGTGGTTCGATGCCAGAACGACGCTGGCCGGTGCTAGGGTGTTGCCCTGTAATCTGTTGAAGCAGGAGCGTGAGGCCTAGTGGAGTGATCTGGGGATGCTTTGGGTTTGGCATCTTACGGCACAACCAAAGTTTGCTGTAGGGATGACGCTGGGCGGAGCTCGGGTGAGTTGTGTTGCCCTGTAACCTAGCAGAAAGTGGGGGCGTGAGGCCTGGAAGAGCTCGACAGGGAGTAAGGCAATTTTGAGGAATTTTGGAAGGGTTGGTTAGGGAGTTCGAGGGTTTTCGAGCTTTTGAGGATCTTCGCAGTCTATTTCTCATACCTCATCTTTGTTATGCTATATCAAGCTTTTTGGTGTTCTGGATTTGTGGTAGCATCTAGCTTTCGTACATATCTGGGATAGAGGAGTTTAGAGAGGGTCGAGCCCGGACTGATATCCGCAGAGTTGCTCTGTTCTGTGCCCCTGGTTTGTCGATGCCAGAACGACGCTGGCCGGAACTGGGGCGTTGCCCTATGACCTGCAATTTGCAGGAGCGTGAGGTCTTGTAGAGAGATCTGGGTTTTGCCAAGGGAGGAAGGCAATCCAGTGGTGAACCGGGGGGGGCTGCTAGGTGGCGAGAAGAGATCAACTATGGGAGACGTTGGTTTGGTTGGGATTGTCTCTGAGCTATTAAAGTCCTGGTTCAAGGAAGGCTAGGAGTTACGCTAAGTTTAGGAGGCCAGAATAACTGATATAGCATAGTCCACTACATTAGCATAAACATCATTAGCATCATCATCATCATCATCTTCAGTTTCATGTGAGGGACGCTGAGCCCGGTTCTCAGCAAAAAAAGTAGCTTTAACTTTCTGAGCCGAAGCTGGGTGACGGCCCCGGTACCCCAAATTTCCAAGCTCAAAAAAGGTGAGTGGGAGAAAGAGATGGTGGGATATCACACGTCCTGCTAGTGAGGGGGCTAGCTGGTAGGATGGAAATAGGGTATAGCGGCAGCGGAGATGGTGGCTCTGCTGCAGTAAGTCTTGCTGGAGTGAGGTAAAGAGGATTGATTAGGTGTTTTTTTCTGAGTTGGTTTTTGAATTTTGCTTAAAAAAAAAACAAAAAAACAAAACAAAACATGGACCGAAGCAAACCAATCATAGTCTAGACCGAACATACATCAACGCTGGACTAACCCCTCGGTGGTACAGGCAGTGTCTGTAATTCTTACCATTTAGCATCCCAAGGGGTTGGTGTGTCTAGCTGTGGATCCGTCAACGCCCGCATATGTCCATGCGTGAGGTTGCAGGGTCTTGGCTCCAAGGTCGGAGAAAAGTGCCTAGGTGAAACCAGGTGAGGGTAAATGAACTGAGGACGCATGGTGCACTGAACTCGGTTTCCAGCACAATCCAAAGCTGGGTAATGGCCCCGCTATTCTGGGTTGTTTGCGGAGGGATTCCGGGCCTCCGTTCCCAGTCCGGTAAAAAAAAAAGAAAGGATGAAGAACCAGACCTGTCGAGGAGGGGCAAGCCAGACAGAAAGGGAGGGGCCCTTGTAAAGGAGGGGGAAGATGAGGAGGGTGCGGAAGAGGGGGAGAGGAGGCTTACCTCGGCTGGCGGCGGCGTCACTACGGTGCTGCTTTGGAGGTATGGCGACAGGGGGAGGGCATGTAAATGCAAGATGAGCACTCGGCCTGGGTATAGGGACCGTTCGCACCGGGTACGGGTACAGGTGCAATTTACCCATAAAGAAAACAAGAACAAAGAGCGACAGGTGCTGTGGCGGGACTCGCGACGCGCGCATGTGGCGCAGATCCGTGCGAGAAACGCTGATGACAACCGGGGCGGCGATAGGCTAGGCGATTCTGGGTCGGCCATAGAGTCGGCGCTGGCAACCCGCTCAGTCGCAGCGATGGTTGGTACGGCGAATCGGTCTGTATTTTTTTTTATTTTTTATTTTAATCGGTCTGTATGGACCAACGAAGTTCTTTTCTTGATCTTTTTCCTCAACTGGGTGCTGAGGTAGACGACGGACTTTTGTCCTTTCCGTGGTGATTGGACAAGGCGTTTTATGGCCAGATCCCACTGGCAAAGAGGGTTGGAAAAAGGGGCTGGATCTGGATCTGTTCCAAGCAGACATGCAGAAGAGCAGATCAGTCACAATTTTCTGCATATCTCCACGAACATGTCCAGATGTGTGCGAAGGAGTAGTTAGTTCGCTAAAAAAAAAAACAAAAAAAAAAAAGAGTAGTTCGCCCTGGAAACGGAATGGGTGCGCGAACCAACGGGCCTAGCTCACTAAGTGCATTCCATCCGGGGGCTAGGTCCCACTTGCACGAATTAAGCGATATTGACCGTCGATAACAAAGATCGACGGCCAGATTCTCGTAATCCGTGCAAGTGGGACCTTGTCCCAGCATAAGCGTCTGTCAGTTCGTGCATCCATGAACTGTTGAATTGAAATGCAGGCCACCCTTTCCGAAAAAAAGTAAAAAATGAAATGCAGTCCACGGTTCGAATCTCCATGAATCAAATGTGAAAAGAATAAAATAAAATAATTCTGAAGAACGGGTGCGTTTTAGCCGTTGTCGATGTGCCGTTAGTGCGGACACGGCGGTGGGTGGTGGGGGATGGATTTGCAATTTCAAAGAGCAAACCAAAAGGCAGAAAACGGAGCAGAGACAGCCGGAAGGCGGGCCTGAGGGCATACTCACACTACGGTAGCAACTTGTTACTTGTTTCTGGACCGAATTGTGCCCAGATGCATATAAGTCAGGCCGTAACTGCGGTCGGGTACATTTAAGATAGTGGTAGTACTCCCTGAAAAGGGACAGAGATGAGACGAGCGACGGAAGGGGTCCGAACACTTCAGGTTACCGTTGGTACTTAACACATTCACATCACATGAGCAGCAGCCTCGGCGGGCTGGTGGACCCCAGAGAGCGGGGCCTCAACTTGAAATCGAGAGTATTTTGGCGATTGCCCCTCTATGATGACTAGACTGTCTATTTTGTCCACTGCCCCTCCTTGACGTGCGACAAATTACATACATATATTCTTCAAGATCTATGTATTTTATCGGCTGCCCTTCTCTGACGAGTGCACCTGAGTGCAATTGCCTTACAAATAATACAGATCATGCACCGTAGGTATTTTACCGTGTGTTCAGATGAAGAGACAACGGCATTGGGGTACCACAAGGCTCGGCAGAAAAAGCAAAAAATTTCGGCCTGGCGAAGGGGAACGGCCGTGAAGGCGGGGCAAGGTCCCAATTGCACGGATTACGAGAATATGGCCGTTGATCTTTGCTATCTACGGTCAATATCGCTTAATTCGTGTAAGTGGAACCTAGCCCCCCGGTGAAGGCATTGCCATGCGAAAATCGAATTGCGGGCTGGCGAAGAAATCGAGCCGTTAGAGACAGGCGGCAGTCAGCATTGTTCGTTGCTGTGAAAGTGAAATGCAGGCGGCGCCCGAACAGGGGGCGAGGTCCCGCTAGGAAAGAGGATTGGATTGAACGCCTTAATTTTTTTATTTGGCCGCGTTTGTGGACAAGTGCAGAAAGTCGAGATTTGAACTCCTTTTCTGCATCTCTGCGTTAAACACGCCCAGATTCAGGATCGTAATCCGGTTCCCGCGTTGCGAGTGGGACCATGCTCCAGGTCAGTCAGAGCAGTGGCGAACTGGAGAGCGACGCCGCCGACGAAATTGTATGGGGCCTTCTGAGCTAACGATGAAATCGAGGGCAACAACGGCGATTCCGTGAATGAATGGCCCTCGTTGTGAACGAGCTGCTCCAGGCACCTACCGTAGGGAGGTAGCGCTCGCGGTTTGGACGTGTGAATTCCAACGAAAAACAATCACATGTCAAATGGCCAGGCAAGCTTGCAATAACGAAAAGCGGAAGGCGAACGCTTCTCCTTCGCCATCTCCGTGAGCATAGTTGCTTGAGAACTAGTAAGTTACTATTACCTTCAGTAATCTGTGTGGTGTGACGTGAACAGGAACTCCGCCAAACTTATCTCGTAGTCGGGTCTTTCGCTGCTGTCTTGAAGCTATTCACTCCAGCACGAAGTCGTCGACGCATCTGTATCTCGCTGCTGCCTTCCCGTCTGTAGCTCAGAACCAGCAGTGTTTTGTTTCTCGTGTGTGTGTGTGTGTGTGAGAGAGAGAGAGAGAGAGAGAGAGAGAGAGAGAGAGAGAGAGAGAGAGAGAGAGAGAGAGAGAGAGAGAGAGAGNGGGAGAGAGAGAGAGAGAGAGAGAGAGAGAGAGAGAGAGAGAGAGAGAGAGAGAGAGAGAGAGAGAGAGAGGGAGAGAGAGAGAGAGAGAGAGAGCAGTCGGCGACGATGTTTTCGGCGAAGAGGAGAACCCCATCTGGTGGGCTTACGGAGAGAGGAAAGGACAAAATCTCCAAGGATGACGACTACTCGGTTTATGGTACGTGCCAACGTTTTTCATTTTCCTTTGTTTTTTGCTGAATCCATCTGTTGTTTCTCAAGATTTGATTTCCTGACTAGTTTATTAACAGAACAGTTACACGTGTACGCCATTCAGCCACATGTGCTGGGTGATGAGGCACTGAGGATGGCAATGGGGATCTGTTATGGTTGGAGCGGAAATTAGTCGGTCGGAGTCGAATTGTTTCGCGCTTGTTGGGAGATCAGTATTACTAGAATGGAAGAGAGGAGATGCTATGCGTAATAAACGCGAATAGTCAGGGTAAGGAGTGGATGGAGTCCGACATCCAAACGGTGATGCGGTTCGCGTTGATGCGTTGGATGAGTCACACCAGATACGTTGAGCGGCTGTGTGGGACGCATGCCGGGTTGATGTGTTCGACAACACTGCGGGCAACGGGTGCGGCGGCATCATTGATAGCTTGTGGATATCGTGCAGGGGTGGATGTCGGGAGGGGACCATGGGTACGTGCGGCGCAGTTGCGGCAGGTTCGGTCGACGGTGGCCGAGCTATGTGTGCGACAGTGACGAGGGCGCGCTGAGGACAAACAATGCGACCAGGCGAAGCCGGTTTGATGGAAATGAGGGCGGTGGTGTTATTTCTGGGGATCATGGAATATGTCGCAAAAGCGAAGGTGATGAGCGGATAATGGCTGAGAGTGATAGGCGTGGAGGGTGTGCGACACGTCTGAGTGTGATGGACGGGTGCGACACGGAGTCGGATGGGTGCGACAGGAAGTAGGATGAGTTCGTGTTCAGTGCTGTAAGGGTGTTAGACGATTGATCGAAGGTGACGAGCGGAGGAGGACGGGTGAGGTTCGATGGAGTTGAGGGCGCTGTTTTTGAATCACCTGGCCATCGTGGAATGTGCGGCAAGAGGGTGACGAGCGGCGGACGGGTGAGATAGGCGTGGCAGGGGCGACACATTTGAGCGTGATGCACTCGCAGGCGACGGGTGCGACACCATCGAGTAGCATGGAGGCGACACGGAATCGGATGGGTGCGACAGGAAGTAGGATGGGTTCGAGTTCAGTGCGGTGGCTGTTAAGCTATTGAGCGCGTTTCGTGCCACACCGTCGAATGCGATGGCTTCGACAGAGTTGTTTGCCATGCGTGAGAGCCGGTCGAGGGCGATGGGAGGGTGAGGATTGGGTAATGTGCGCGACGCCCGTGTGAGAGTGACGTGTTCGGCATTTCCGAGGGCGGCGGGTTGGCCACAGGCGAGGTCGACGTGCAAAGCAGGGTAGGGGCCGACCGGTGCGACACGGGTGAGGCCGACGAGTCTGACACGCTGAGCCCTACGGGGTGAAGGCGACGGTTTCCAAACCGGGGCAAGGTCCCACTTGCGCAAATTGGGAGATTCGGCCGTTGATCTTTGCTATCTACGGTCAGTATCTCTTAATTACCTAACCCCCGGTGAGGGTAACTACTGACGCGGCTCGGTAGGCAGTGACCGGCGCGACATTGTCGAGGACGAGTAGGTGCGACATCCTGGAGGGCGATGGTTGCAAGACAGTTGATGTCGGTGGTGCGACTGGGTGATGCCGTTAGTGCGACACGGTTGATGCCGATGCGAGCGTCACCGTTGGAGGTGATGTGATGGGTGCGACGGAGCTGCCCGTGATCGGTGTGACACGATTAGGGCGATGCGCGTGACGCGATTGAGTTTGACAAGTCTGACGTGCAAGGGGGGGGGGGCGGTGAGGGATCGGTACAACAGGGGAATGGGTTTTGGTTGGTTATAGCCGAAGTGAAGGCGGGCAACAGGGCGAGACGGGGACGTGAGGGCAGCGGGTGCAACTGGGCGAGAGATCTCTCAAGGTGATGGGTGGTAAGACAGGTATGTCTACAATATCGTCTTTACCCGAATAGAACGCCCGGTCATTATTGCTGTATCTGGACTGAAAATTCCACCTAATGCGGCTGTAAAGACGGGGTTTTTATTCGGGTGAAGACGGCAGAGTTACGCCTCCGATCACGACGAAGACTACCTGTAGTAGTTGTCGAGCGAGATGTCTGTGAATCGGATGGGCCTGAAGAGCTGTGCGCCGAACAGTGGGACGCCAATGAAAGCGATCGGGATGGCAAGCGTATGGACGGGCTGAAATGAGGGCGTGGGCGACTAGCTTGACCTCGTCGAGATCTACTACGATGCACACGTCTCTTTGTACCCTTCTCTGGGCAAAATGCTGCCCACGTCTCTACGTAGTCTTCTCTGGGCAAAACGGCGGGGCGAGGGGGGCGGGGGAATTGATGGGGACTATGTAAATTTTTTTTAATGAACACAGGTGATGCCGTGGAGGGAAGCCGATTGTGCAGTTGGTCGCGTCAGTGGGCAAAGCGTCGTTGAAGTCAGCGACATGAGAACGACGGCGAGTGTACACGTCTCCCACAGCACTGATCTCGAGGATGGGTAAGACTCCGACTGCTGCGCTGTTTTGGACGCACGCAGCGTAACGATGGTTGTCTGCCGAACCCATTGGACCTCTGGCGGGGGCGATAAAAAAACGGCTGGGTTATCGAGGGTGATTGTCGGGCCGGGGTGAGGCTGGAGACTATGATTCCCGTCTTCCCCCGTCTTCCCTCGAACACAACGCACCATCATTTTGAGCGTCTACGTCCGATGACTGGAATTTGTTGGCGATGGTGAGATTGCATCCCCTGTCACCGAATGTTTGTCTTCGGCTCTAGAAAAAGGATGCCGGCAGCTTCGGTTCGGTGGTGATTGGATCGTATCCTCTGTCATCGAATATTTTTTGATTGTACAGTAGATAAAATCATGATTCGTCAAGGCGAGAAAGGGGTGAACGGATCGATGGGCTGCTGCTGGTCCGACGGGAGAGGGGTTTGTGAGCTGGGGGGAAGGGGGTTATTCGACCAAGTGGACCTAGGACACATTTGCTGGCAACAATGGTGACCTATGTTGATTGTTTTTCCGCAATAATATCATATATGGCGTGGCCGGCCTTGTACATAAGAGGTGATGAACAGCCGGAACTTTTTCTTTCTTTGTTTTGTCTCTTTTTTCGCCTTTGCTCTCCGTCCGATACACTGTGTGACGGTATATGGTAAGTGACCTGATACTCGTTTTGTTCGCTAAATGACGGCTTCTTTATTGATTGCTTCTTCTTCTAAACGATGCTGTTGATCTAGTCATGCTGATGACTAAGTGAGTCGTCATGTGCTGAGGGAGCAGTTGGGCTGGATGTGCTCCGCCCAAAGTTTTCTTGAACGCAAGTGACGATTAACAGGACGGATTTTACCCCGTGCGTGCGCTCTACTCAGAGGCAGCCGGTCCAGAGGCCTGCGACGTGGTGAAAACGCGAGGCCGCTGTGAAGTTGTCCGCTAAGTGTCGATCAAGCGGATTGTGTTTCTGTCTCCGTCAGGTGTATGTAGCATGCGGTTGAATGTGACCAGTCAGTCAGCTGTGTATGCGTGTACTCGTCATGTTTTCCCAAGTGATCCCAAAGTTTTTTGTGTTTGAATGCGATCAGTCAGGTGGGTCTCTTTCCGGTAGTAGTTGCCTCACTTCGTTGGTGTTCTTGGGTGTTGTGCTTTGGATTTCTGCCATCTGTTCTTCTGGGAAACCGTGCGGCCTGCAGAGCACACTCTTCGGCGGCTGATATCTGGGGCGAGAATAAGCGCAGCGCCTCCAGCTGATGTGCCCGGCGGAGGATGGTTTGGCGCTACCAGCTGTGGTGGGGTAGGTAGGTGCGGATCAAGCGTCAGCACGAGGACGGCAGGGTCTAGCTCGAAGATAGTCTTCCGCCATGTGGAGGAGCCTCCACCATCGTTGGGGAAATCGGCTGAGGTAGCGGCTAGTCGACAGGGCAAGGAGGTTGACCGGCAAGACGACGCAGAGGAGAGCTCCCCATGCGCGATCTGTTCCTCATTCAGCTTGGGAACATCCTGCGCTCATTGCGAGTACGTTCTCTACCTCTCCCTGTCTCTCTTTCTCTCAATCTCTCTCGGTGTCTCTCTCTCCCTTCGTGTATGATCTCAGCTCGATTCTTCTACCTAAGCCAAGATCTCTGCATGCTGGATGGACACCGTGCTGCCAAGCGTCGTGCCCCCACTCTGTCGGAAAGGAACCCCCTGATGTTATTGTAGTCAAGGGGCAGTCCTTTTGTGGGTCTCTCTCTGTGTGTCCCTCTCTCTCCCTTTGTGTATGATCTCAGCTCGATTCTTTTACCTATGCCAAGATCTCTGCATGCTGGATGGACACCGTGCTGACAAGCGCCGTGCGCCCACTCCGTAGGAAAGGAAGCCCTGTTGTTATTGTTGTCGAGGTGTAGTCAGTCCTTCACGTTGTTGTACCCAACGGACTTAATCGGGACCGAACTCCTGATCTTTATTATACCAATGTCTAAACATTCACCCACATTGGTTGTGTAGCGAACCCTGTTTTCGGTATTGCTTGCACTGGACGGGAATTGCCGCGGGATTATTGCAGTACGCAGCCCAGTTCTCCCAGCCATTACTGTAATAATTAGGCGAGTACAATCTTCTGTCTTAGCAAATTTTTGAAAGGTAACTTTTTCGTTCTTTTTTTTTCTTTTAAAAAATGTAGGGAGTGTAGAGTAGTGCAGCGAGGCCCATCGTCATCGAACTGACTGGCCCCAGCTAATTCGGAATTAGTATTTCATGGCGTCCAGCTAATTCAGAGTTATTTCATGGCATTCATGTGCATTCCAACTGAGGTCTATATTTCAACAGTTCATCGGTGGTACCAGTTGAGCTCGGCCCGTTGGTGAACGTTTCGCTGCCAGCTTGAATGAACACAACCAACTTTTTTTTCTTTTTTTTTTTGTTAAAAGGATGACGGCCTTAAGATGATATCATTGAACTGACCGGCCCCAGGCAATTCACCAGAATGATCGTAGTCTCTTCATCTGAAGTTATACCTGTATTTCAACAACTCTGGGGTGTACCAACTGCGCTACCGTCTTCACCCGAATAGTACGCCCGGTCATTATCGCTGATCTGGACTGAAAGTTGCCCCATATACAGCTATAACGACCCGGCGTACTATTCGGGTGAAGACGGTAGGCTGTATAAAAAAAGGAAGAAAGACAGGGCAACCTCGCGGTTGTTTGTAGGAGCTGGAAAAGAAAGTTTGCCAGTTTCTGACGACAAGTGTTCTGCAATGCTTGCTAAGGCCTTGCGTTCTTTGTCGTGTTGCTGCTATTTGTTCTTTGCCACAGGAGGAAAATCTGTGAGTTCTGCTGCAGAACGTGCGACGGGTGCCAGCATGTGTATTGCACGTCTTGCTCGACTCCGAAGTAAGTGAACATCAATCATTTTCCTCGTGTTCCCTCTCTCCCTCCCCATTCAATTTGCCGATCACTCTTCGTATGTGTCAACTACTTCCTGTGACAGTTCCTTCGCTCTTTGACGCTCAACATGCGCGAATTCTCTTCCTCTTTCACTACTGATTGATTGATTGATTGATTGATTGCGGTATGCAATCGTTTTGAAACTCGATGAAGGGATAGAGGGTTTTGATGATATATTCGATCGAAGCGTGTCGCGTGCTATATTTTGTCCGCGGAAAGCCGTCGTCCTCTCTCCCTCTGTCTCTCGTAGTGCGTGTTTCTTGATGGCGCCCCACGAGTAATGGAATGTATACGTATAATAACGATGACTATTATTTATCGCCTCCAGCAGTTGTGGTCTTTCAAAGTGATGATTTTCCCCCTAATTTCTCTTCTCTTTTTTTTTTCTGTCTTTCTGAGTATCGTTGCAAGTGTTGATTTCTGTATAGCATAAGAAAAACTCCAGTACCGTGTTTGTTTCGCTATCCAGTCGATTGGGAGTGTATATAAGAGGAACACTTGTGACAAGTTTTGCTCGAAGCATTGATCGACATCGCGTAGGGTTATCTTCTGCACCCGACTAAAACAACGCCCGGTCATTATCGCCGTGTACCTTTACTGGAAGTCGCCCCAAACACGGCTATGAATACCGCGCGTTCTATTCGGATGAAGATGGTAGTCATCCTCGAGAAGATCTAACGGCTTTCAGTTGCAGGAAACCCTACAACAGGCCACGCAGCTGCAGTTTGTTTCTTGGGGGGCGGTGGGGGAGGGCGGCGGGGCGGCCAGAGCTGAGAGAGTGGTGCCTTTTTTTTTTCTTTTTATTTAACAACGGTCCTAGTGCCCAAGGTTTGTATTACTCGATGAATAAATTCGAGCCCGGGTCCTCATAGTCTACCCGGAAGAAAATTAAACGCTTTTTTCGTTCGAGTGGTGGGGATGATGGTGAAAATTCCGTGAAATGATCGAACGCAATGGCGAGGGTGGTGTCATCACAGGCCTTTGTTTCTTTACACTCTCTGCATCCGGTCTGTACTACCTGTCTTCTGCGTCTTTAAAAAAAAAAAAAAGGATTTACAAAACCGGTCAGGCATTCTTCGACGCTATTCTGAACCTGTGCAGAAAAAGCGCCGTTACAAGGACCAGCTACGAGCCGTTGCAGCATATATGATGACGGAATGAATACTTAAGTAACCGCGTATATCTTGACCGAGTGTGCACGTAACAGGCCAGCACGCCCCGGCATCAGCGTACTCTCGCAGAGCCGGTTTCTGCTACCTTCAAAAAAATGAGAACCGGGCAAACATCCTTGGACGTTGTTCTGAACGCCTTCAGCAGCGCCGTTACAACGAGCAGCTGCGAGTCGTTGCAGCATAATGAATATAAGTGAAACCGCATATAGCTGACCGAGTGTGCACGTAACAGGCTTGCACGTCTAAGTACCAGCATACTCTCTCGCAGAGACGAGCTGTAAACTCAATGTGCGCAGCAATTTGCGATGTAGGGTCGTGTCACGAAGCTATATACTCCGGGTTCTTGTCTCAAAAAAAAGACGGTCCTTGTCATTATTTGCAGAATGGTAGCAACGCTGGTGTGATCAGCTAGCTACCAGCTGGATGTTGGCTCAAGTGGGTACACACACGAACGCATGCTTATAGACTAAGCTGGCGGGCGGCTAAATGGTTCAGACCCGTAGTAGTTATCATTCCGTCGGAAGTGAAAGAGTTGGAACCATGGTGTAGTGTAGTGCAGATCATTGCAAAATGAACTTGACAGGTTGTCAAGCTGCTCGCTCACCTTTGAACGTCAAAGAAATCGATTTGTGTCGCGGTGAAGATCCATGCTGATCGACAAGCACATTTATTTGTCGGCTTATTGACTTGCAAGTGAAGAGTAGGAACGATGGTGTAACATGGACGTGGGCGGGTCAAGCAAGATCCAGACTGATCGACAAGCACATACATGCACGTTGATATTCTCTTTTTCTGCGTACAAAAAAAAAATGATTTCTAGAGGCCCTCTTTTCGTTCGCCAAGACTTGTCGTGTATGTTGAAACTGAGGATCTCTCAGACGGAACACCGAAGGGCCGAATCGTGCCCGAAAAAGACCCCAGAAATCGCACTTGCTTTTTCCAGTGACGTACGCACTAAACGCTTAATGTAACGTTCACAAAGTGACGTTTTTTAAGTTGTACCATATGAAAGGACGGATTGCCGCCGGTCGTGCCTGAACTTTCATTTCAGAGTTGCCACTTTGAAATGTTCCTGGACGTGATTGGTTGGCGCTCAGGTGCAGGATACGTACCGTGTCGAGGAAGGCGTCAAAATACATTCTGACGCGGCCAATCTTGTGATCCCAGATCCATGAGTTGAGTGATAACTGTCTGCTGCCCTCCCCCCAAGCAGCCATAAACGTGGTGATGATGTGAACCCTAACGTCTTCATCCGAATAGAACGCCCAGTCGTTGTAGCTGTGCTGTGTTTAGACTGAAAGACACCCCAAATATAAAGCCGTAATGGCCGTACATTGTATTCGGGGGAGGAAGATAGTCCGTGCCATGAATGGCTTTTGCAGCAGGAAAAAAAGCCTTCACACGGCTGTTCAAAGGAGAGAGAGAGAGAGAGAGAGAGAGAGAGAGAGAGAGAGAGGAAAGGGTTGTCTCTAAGCATGAGGTTGTGATTATTTGACCATGTCTCGAATCGCGTGCTATGTATTTGGTTTCAGTTTCTGACGTCGTTGCATCAAGTAGGTGTTATCCAGTATGTATTGTTTCGTCACGGGGTTTACATTGGTCTGATGGGCCGCTCGCTGCCGGTGTTCTCTTTGCCTTGACAGCTATGAGGAGCGTTATGATCGCACGTTCTGCCTGGATTGCAATGTCGAGGAGCTGCGCGGAGGTGGCAAAACGCACGCTGTCTCGTTTCCTCCGCCGTTCGCCCCGGTCGAAAGGAAAACCAAGATGGATTACGTGCCGCTCTCCGTAGCATTCATGCTTTGTCCACGTGCAAGCAGCAGCGGAAGTAACAGCAGCAGCAGCAGCAGTTGCAGCAGGAGCAGGGGAATAGGAACTGCGTCATCGTCTTCGTCGCTGTCGATGTTCGCATCAGCAGGAGCTATTGGCGATGCCATGGAGATGGAGGCATGAGGCCATCGTCTCCGTCTTTCTTCAATGTCAAGGTAAATCTTTCAAGAGAGGGAGGGAGGCTCGCGTATGAGAGCTCCAAGCGACAACCTACCCTCCAGTCTCCCTTAGCTCCCAGGCAATCCTCGCAGGAAGTTCCATCCTCCAATGGGAGCCCTGAGGTGTGATGACTCGCAAGAAAATGCTCACCTCATCATCTTCCAACGTTTGTTATCATGCACTATGACCAATCTGTGTGTGTGTGTGTGTGTGTGTGTGTGTGTGTGTGTGAGAGAGAGAGAGAGAGAGAGAGAGAGAGAGAGAGAGANGAGAGAGAGAGAGAGAGAGAGAGAGAGAGAGAGAGAGAGAGAGAGAGAGAGAGAGAGAGAGAGGATTGGGGGGGGGAGTGGTTGAAGAAGGCGGGTGAGAGAATGAAGGGAAGGGCTTTGGCCTATCGGCCATCTCTCGGAAAGGAAATTGGGTGAGAGAGTCGTCAGATGGGCAGGTGTTTGTTGTGTCTAGAGCAGTCGGTTTGCGGTTGTGTCTAGAGCAGTCGGTTTGCGGTCACGAGTGGGGTACAGGTGGGAATGGCGGCGGGAGAGGGGGGAGAGGAGAGAGTGGGTAGGACGGCGGAGCGAGAAGTTTGCTTCTGCCTTTCTTCCTTAAATGTGTATTGCTTAGAGTAGATCCTATGTCTGGACATTAGATCGTCTTCATGAAGAGATTCGCTCTCTTCCTAAAGTCTACACACACCTCTCTCTTGGTAACAAGCCGGCCGGCCCTTATGGAGGTTGTGGCAGTGGGGTTGGTTGACAGGAATGGCGGCGGCTGATTGCAAAGAATGGCCGACTTTTATCGTCTTTTATTTGGCCTGAGATTGGAAAGAAATGGCCGACTTTCATCGTCTTTTATTTGGCCTGATGGCTGAGGACTGGAGCGGCGAACTGTTTTCGCCGCTAATCTGTTTGGGTGGGGGCTTGTCCTATTGCCCACGCAACGGATGTGGGGCCATATTGCCTACGAACGGGTTCTTAAAATCGCTCTCGGGGGTGCAACAGAAGGGCTCAAAAGGAAAAGTGCGCATGCGGTATGAACGAGATTCACCTATGGTAGTTCAGCTGATGACCACCCTGGTCAATGATGGATCGGGCACGTGGCTTTAACTTGAGAACTGAACAGGCCAAGCCGAAGGCGCCCAGGAGAGAAGTGTCTCTATCTACGACTGGGTGCCGGGTTGAAGGCGTACCATATATATATGGTTCCATGGCTGGGCTATGTGCCGTGCAGATCGGCCCTAGGTAGTCCGATGTAGCGCGCTATAGGAGGCTATAGCAGTCGCTGGCGTGTGTATTTGTTGGCTTGGAATGTAGAGCGGAGATGACTGTTTGTTTCGTTTGGTTTGGTTTGGGGGGGAGCGGGGCATGATATGATGTCTTGTTTAGACAGGATGTGAGAGCGAAAGGCGTTTTGTGTTATTTTGTGTTATTTGGTGTTATTTGGTGTGCTGTATAGTTCAGACGGGACCGGGCAAAGACACGTTTAGAAATCTTGTTGCCGTGTTTTGGGGCTTTTAGAAATCAATCCCACGGATTGTATGATGCACAGCTGAGTTTGACGCGTGCTTCGAGTTTAGACGGAGGAGGAACAGCAAGCTGTGTGATTAGAGCTCTGATGAAACGGGTGGCTGGCTCGAGGAGCGCTGTCGAGCATCGAAGGGGTCAGCTTCACTCACTGGGTGACGTAAAATATACAGATGATTCGTTTCTTGTACATCTGAGCTCCCAGTGTCCAACTTCACCGTGGTCTGTATCCGATGTATTTCTCGAGTGTACCTTGTTTTATTTTTTTCGGTTGCATCTTTCGCCTACTTCTTTTTCTCTGTTCTGTTTTCGAGTTTTGACTCGGTTCTCTCAATTGTGTGCATATTATTGACAGAGACTGTAATGATTACTCCCATGCGAAGGGCAATGGTGGTTCTATGCGGGGACGGTATCATCGGCGGTGTGTGATCTTTTTGGACGGTAACGGTGGTTCGATGTGATGTCCGCAACGCTGGTTTCACTGTGGTTTAACTGTCGTTTACCCGTGATTTACTGTAATTGTGGTCTCACGGTGGGTGGTTCAACTGAGGTGGTTTAACTGAGGTGGTTCAACTGTCGGCAACGTTTCGACTGTGGTTCAACTGTGGTTTCACTGTGGTTCAACTGAGGTGGTTTAACGGTGGTTCAGCAGTCGGCAATTTCGACTGTGGTTTAACGGTTGCTTAACTGTGGTTTAACTGTGGTTTCAGTGGGTTTAACTGTGGTTTAACTGTGGTTTCACTGTGATGTCACTGTTGGTTTCACTGTGGTTTCACGGCGGTTTGGTTTCGTGGTGGATACTAACGGCGACGGTGATATGGGCAAAATGCGAGTATTATGAACAGTGGATTTGATATGGGAATGATAGCAGTGGGTTCCCTATGGGAATGGTAGTAGTGGGTTCCCTATGGGGACGGTAATGAGGCCGGCGACGAAGTCAAATGAGGGGAATGCACGTGGTTGTGGTTTGGATGAGAGTCGGTGTGATCCTTTCTGCTCTTAGAGTGGTACTCCATTTCATAATATTATTCGGGTTGCTTTTCGGATGATCACTTGCAGGCTCACATCAAAGGGGGGTTGCATTTCATCATTGTTCCTTCACCGGTCGAATGTGAAGTAGTGTAGTTTCTTCTTACATCCGATATCCGATTTCTCCTCCCCAAGTCGGGGTCCCATTTGTTGGGCAAGTGCGGCTATTCATTCATATGGGAGTCTCTATTCAAGTCAGGGTCCCATTTGTTGGGGAAGTGCGGCCATTCATTAATATGGCAGTCTATTTGGTATGCGCCTGGAAAACGGTTCAGGTTCGACGTATCTTTTTCTCGCACTGCTTCCGATTGCATTTGGCAGACGTCCATTCGCTATGGCTTGTGAACCTGACAGCGTCGCTCGAAGTATTTAGTCTTTGGGCTCGAGTTTTATTTTATTTTATACTCTTTATACTTTGTGCTCGAGTTTTATTCCAATGAGACAACCGGGGCCCGGGAACACACCCCAGTGGGAGATGTTTTGTTTGCTACCATGACGACTGACGACGACTGGCGACAGGATATGCTTGTTCATTTTTTCAGTAAACATTTCTAGCGTTATTTCATTGTGTCATCATTTGGCCAAGAAATAAATAGATGGGAGCCTGAAATAAAATGAGAAGGAGAAAAAATCGCAGCCCTTGTTCTTGTGCCTGTATGTACCCCCCGGGGACAAGTCCCACTAGCAGCGTTGAGCTACGTCAACGCCTGAATCTGGATGCTTTTGCGGAGATGTGCAGAAATGGTATCGAGTTTCCTGAAGTGCACGTCTCCACAAACACGTCCAGATTCAGGCGTTGAGGTAGCTCACCGCTCCTAGTGGGACTTGGCCCCCGGCTTGAGATGTTCATTAGCACAACAATTGACCTGGGCCGAGGTCCCACTAGCGAAGAGGATTGGGTTCAGCTCCTGAATCTGAACGTGTGTCATGCAGTCATGCAGAAAAGAAGCCCAAGCTCGGTATTCTGCACCTTTGCACGAACGCGTCCAGGTTCAGGCGTTCAATCCAACGAGTTCGAACTCCGCTGTAAGCAGATTATTCAAAATGACGACAATTCGGAATTACATAGGGTCGGTCAGTTCAATGACGATTTCTCAAGGCCGCTGCCCTTTTCAGGACAAAAAAAAAGGAAACGAAGAGAGGGGAAAAAAGGATAAGGTAAGAGATGAAATAAGAAAGGAAAAGGAAGAGTAGAGGCCGGGAATCCTCGACGAACAAGCCGGGCCAATTTCTGCTGGCAGCGTTGAGTTTTCTCAACACCTGAATCTGGGCGTGTTTGAGGAGATATGCAGAAATGGCGTCGATGTGCAGAAATGGCGTTGACTGTCCTCAACTGCACATCCCCTGGAACAGCTCCAGATTCGGGCGTTGAGGAAACTCAACGCTGCTACATAGTGGGACTTGGCCCCCGAAAAGGTTATACTGCGGCCATTACCCAGCTTAGGCGCAGGCGTTGGGCTGTCGTCCAGATGCGGAAAGGAAGAGAGGAAAGGAAAAGGAGGAAAGCTTAGGCGCAGGCGCGGCCATTACCCCCGGGGCAAGGTCCCCACTTGCACGGATTAACAGATTCTGGCCGTTGATCTTTGCTATCCTATCTACGGTCAATATCGCTTAATTCGTGTAAGTGGGGACCTAGCCCCCGGAAAGGAAGAGAGGAGAAGAGAAAGGAAAGGATAAAGAGGGAAAAAAAAGACCAAAAAAAAAAAAAAGCCAATCGACCGTTCCCGATCATCTGTATTGTTATTTGATTTGGCCACTCCGCCAGCAGATACGGGGGCAAGCTCTTTTCTTTCGTAGGCGCGTGTGTGTACTTAGACTGCCAGTACTTTGCGGTTTTTCTCCTTGTTCGCTGTAGACCCCGTCAGCTTGAGTGGAGCGGTATTTCCGCGGATTGACTGTATATACAGTGCCAGCTTGTCCCTTGGACTTGAGTGGCTGTTGAACCCGCTCTCTGCGTCGTTTCCCTTGCTTAGCAGGTTGTTCCTTGTACTTGTGTGTACTTGAATGGGGCGGTTTTCCCCCCGGGGTAGCTGTATTTCCCCCTGGCGGCTTGAATGGAGCGGCGGTTAGTGTGTAGTAGCGATTCGATTCAGGGCAAGTCCACTCTCTGCGTTACATCCATATGTACAACCTCTACACTGGGCTGGAGTGTATTGTCCTGTGCGTGACTCGTACTGCTTTTTTCGAGCAGAACCCCTACACTGGGCCGTGATTCCAGTTCCCCGGTCCTTTTCCCCGCAGAATCAGCGCGCACCTGGATCTAGCTCAAAGGATGACTGACAACGATGCAGCTTCACCCATGTTTGATGAGGGCTGTGACGGTTAAGGGGGGCATGCCCCCAGGTCGAACCTCCTCAGCTACTTCACCGCCAACCTTAACTGGCACGGTCTCTCTTTCATACATACATGCTAGAGGATTCTCGGCGTGGGAGGTGAAAAACCCTAATTGGGGGACAGCGTGGCGTACAAATAAATACTATGTCGTCTGCAAAGCGACGGATGAGGGTCCGACAGCATGAGACCCCGGAATGGAGAAACGTAGAGCTTGACATCCTTCCTTGTATTCGAGTTTTTGAATTCCCGATCCGTACATCCAAGGCGAGGAAAACGTTGTATTCGAGCGCTTCCGTTGCCCGTTGTTTGTATAGTATTCGAACAGGATAGAAGAAGCTCTTCTTTTGCCAGCGTCCAAGGAAGAGAGCGGTTGCTGCGCCCCCCTTCCCTGCATCGCTCCCTCCTGGCTCCCCAACGCCCCTTACGCTGAAATGATTTTAATTATTATTCAAGTCCTAATACTCGGATGCTACTGTTCGTTTGCAAACGTCTAGGCGTTTTTTATCCCCCTTGCACTGATGTAACTACTCCAGTCTTCCCCCGAATACAACGTACGGTCACTGTAGCTGAATTTGGGGTATCTTTCAGTCATTCAGTCTGAATACACAGCTATAACGACCGTACGTTGTATTCGGGGGAAGAAGGTACTAGAGTTCGATTGGGATACTCGATCAGTACTACTGTTCTTCGATTGCAACGCTTAGGCGTCGTTTATGCGTGCAGCGGGAAACGTTGTTAGCGCCTCCCACCCGCTATAATAGTCTTACTCTGCGCTCGCCTACTCAGCAGCCGAGGCGCACAGACAGCAAGGCAGGTGTCTGTACTCTGCACAGCCAGACAAAAGGCCTGGACCTGCAAAGCTTGTCGATCATCATAATCAGGCGTGTGTGTCTGTACTGATTTAGGCTGTTTGCCGGTATGGTTTGCTCCTACGTCTGTTCGTGACTGATGGATGGCTTTGCGAGTATACTCTCACACTTGTCGATTATCAAAATCAGGCGGCCTACAACTCAAACTTGCAGTCCGCTGATCGAATCCCTCCTCGCGCGTCTAGGGATCATAGCTTTGAGCCCACCGACCACCCCCAACATATTGCGCACGTACCATCATCATCGTATCATACTGCTCAATGCATCGAGGGGGCCATTGCTGTGTGGCAAGAAAGTTTCTTTCTCCTTTCTTTCTCGTTGGGGGGGCTATAACGTGCGTGCGTTATTATTGTTGCCTCTTTGTGTGCATGGGACAGTGCGTTACTCTGGCACGGTCATTGTCGAACGCCACGTGTTTGCCGTCTACGTAGTGCTTCAACACGCTTCGCCGGGCTCCGATGGTTTTCTTCTGTGCCTTGTCAGCTCCACCGACGACTACCGTCTCCACCCGAGTAGAACGCCCTGTCATTATAGCCGTATTTGGCACAACTTTCGGTCCAGATGCAGTGATAATGACCGGGCGTTCTATTCGGGTGAAGACGGTAGTAGTAAAATAGTAAAAGCCTCGACCAGGCATGAGTTCTCGTACGTGCCTTGGGTTCAAACTTGAAGGAACAGTGAACCTCTTGCGTACAAGGCCGCCCACGTGGATGTAGGTGGAGCGGCGGCTGCCCCCACCCCCGTGTGTCATATCGACCCGCTTGCACACAGCCAAAAGGCAAAGATGCAAAGAAAAGAGGAAGGGAACAGCCAAATAATACAGAACAGGGGGCAACAAAACAGATCCCAGATGACAAGTCCCACATGCAAGCACCGCACCAACACACTCAGGCCAAACGACGGGACAAGACCAACCAGGATGTCAAGCAAACACCGCCCCGCTTTCCACATGCAAGCACCGCCCCGCTTTCCACATGCAAGCACCGCCCCGCTTTCCAAAAGGCCGAACAACGGGAAACAACCAACCATGATATGCCAAAACAATAATAAAAAAAAAAAACCGGATGACTGGTCCCACATGAAGCACCGCTACCTGCTGACTGAGTAGACCGAATAACGGGACAAAACCAACCGGGGATGCATGCAGACAAGAGTACCATAACAAATCTACCATATCCATAGGGAAGAAACGGAACCATACAGTAGGCCCGCAAAACGAAGCACCCCAACAATGGGGAAGAATAAGCGACACAAAAAAAAGGGGATGATAGGACGATGAGTCAAGAAGCTATTTTCGACGGAAATGAATTCTTGAATGCACTGACAAGAGAATCAAAAAATATGTTCTACCATAACCAAAGAAGAGCCTGCTGCTAGTACAGCAGACCCCACGCTCGCCTCATCATCTACAAAAGCAGAGAGCTAGCAACGTCGGAGGATGTATATATTTTCACAACTATATCAGAGCGCAAATATGATCAGAACAGATTCTACACTTGAACTTAGCCAAAAGGTCTGCTAGAAAGGTATGTTATATGTATTTTGCTTATCTGCTCCCAGCGCAGTTGGGGAGTTCGAATTCAGGTCTGTATTTCACCAGCTCAGCTCGGGGTCTCTACCAACTGCGGTGCTTAGGGCAGTTGGTTCTTTCCCTTGTTCTTCGAGCTAGCTCTTCTTGGACGAGTTCATGTCTGCTGTGTTTGATTTGGTGGGCGTGTGTTGTGCAAGTGCGCTGATGGACTGCAGCAAACTGCTCTTGCTTTTACGATGGACGACGCACGACGGCTGCTACTTTTTTTTTTCCTTCTTCTTTTTCTTCTTTTTCTTGTTGAACGTATTTGGAAGGGTGTCTCATTCCCAAATGTTCTTTCGTATCCACGGTGTCTTTTCGTTTCCGTTTTTTTTTCTTTTTTATTTTAACTGGTACGCTATATTCTTTTCTCAAAATTTTCATCATCTTTCAAAAAAAAACAAAAACAATTCACCTTCACTACCTACCTACCACTACTCCTAAGGCTTATCATGGGGACCCCTGCGAACAGAGCTTTGTTGTTTCCCTTCTTTATCTATCCCTTAGTGCTCGACGTCATTATTTGTATAATATATCAACGAGTAGATATGCGTACGCGCCATTCGTTCATCCACCGGACGGGTACGCACGACGAGGAGGGAGTCGTTCTACATGGGAGGATTTCCCTCACGTGACGTGACGTTACGTTACGTTTTCTGTGATGTTGGCTCTGACATCTGTACGTGCGTGGTTGTCGCCCATTACCTCTGCTGCCGCGATGGGAAGTGCGTGCAGACAGTTGGAAGATCTGTGTTCCCCCCCTAACACCCTACCAGAGAACTGTCCAGTCAAACCTCCGACAGGGCCATTGCGTGTGAATCGCGTATGGCAAACAGGGGAGTTGTAGGAATCTGCTCTTTTTTTTCCTTCTTTTTTTTTTTTTTTCTTTCCAACTGGCCAAGCAAAAAAATTCGTCTCTATATCGTTCCAAAATCTTCAACGGATGTCCCGAAGAACTCTGCTTTTTTTGTTCTATTATCACATACAGTCTTTGTCATTGTCGAAATTTTCAACGGATGTCCCGAAACTGCTTGTTGTTCATATTGTGGAAACTGCATCCTTCTTCTTTACGAACTGGTCGTCCTTCCACTCATAATGCTACCGAACGTACACCACTGTCTCACAGGCACACGACCTGAGAAACATTACTATTCCCTTTCTGCAGAACTACTTCTCTGGTACAATCACTTCGTCATTATTCCACTTCTTCGTCCAAGACTGCTGAACTACACGCCACACCACACACACACAGGTACATCCACAGAGAGAGAGAGAGAGAGAGAGAGAGAGAGAGAGAGAGAG